ATTGTCATTAAAAAAACACTCCGTTTCTAAAATAAATGGATTCGTAACGCTGCTTAAAATCTAGCATATTTTATTACAATWTGATAATAAACAAATGCAATATACCAATGGCATAATTGCGAGGAGTCAAGGAAGCTAGGGACCCAAGGGGGCACCTTAATGCCCCCGGAAATTTTTACCAAGAGGTAAATTTTTTATTATCCCCCTCAGATACGCCAATTGTTTTATTATTTAACTCTTATATACCTACTTATAGTTAGTATTATTATTAATATAGATACCTATACTATATACCTACAATTGTATAACACTTGTGTAGAAACAAACGATTAGGTGTATAGAGAATAAAAATATATTTAAGCGCCCCCCCCTCCAGAGTTCAGAGGCTCAGAGTTGGTAAATTATTTTGTATGTATTTATTATGTAGTCATCAAGATCACTTGAGGCTTTTAAATCGAATAACAGAATAACTTATGTGTGTGGGTACAGCTAGTTTTCTAAATTTCTTAATACCTGCCCATCTATAATTTAAAATTATTGAATGTTAAAACTTTGTAATAAATGGAAGCGATCTTTACATTAAATAAATAAATAATTAATATGAACTTATACAACCCCTAACTGTGCTAAATTTCAATTATGTAATTTKCACTGCAGTGGGTAGGTAGGTATCAAGTTAATTGGTATATTTGTATTTATTATAGGAATGAAATACAAGTGCTTTTGAAAACAAATCCTCTATTTGTGTATGAATCAATGTATGTTGAATCGGTAGAATTGTTCTATAAAATATGCAAAGGTACACAACGAGGTCCATGTCAAAATATTGAGTTCATATACCCAGGTAACAGCAATGAAAAGGATGAAATAACATAAACAAAAGGAAAATCAGAAACATAATATTGTATTTAATAGGAACAAAATGGTGTGGGCCAGGAAATATTGCCAAAAATTATTCGGACTTGGGAATTTATCATGAAGAAGATATTTGTTGTCGAGAACATGATCATTGTACAAGAACGTTAGAAACTGGTCAATGTTATTTCAATCTTTGTAATACTTCTCCTTATACTAGGTAATTTGGTATATTTCACTTGTTCTAGTTTTTTATTATACTAATACTATAGTATGTATATACTTACAATAAATCAATACCTAAATTATGTTTTTATTTTTTAGATTCAATATATTTATATATTAAAAAATACAACTTTTAAATTTGTTTACATTACAGATCTCATTGTGAATGCGATGTAAAGTTTCAGCAATGTTTAAACAAAGTCAACACATCTACTGCTCACACATTGGGTGTCATATTTTTTAATATAGTAAAAGTTATGTGCTTTAAAGAAGAGTGTCTATTTGGGTAAGAGATCAAGGATGATTTAAGAATAACACAACACTGTGAACACTGTGATGACAAAAAATTAATTACATTTTTAATTCATCACAGAAAATTAAAGTTTGACTGTTGTGTTTAAAGATGATATTAGAGCAGTAGTTGCAACCATTTGSACTTACTACTTAGTACTTATGTTCAGTAGTTCTATTTAATATATATTATTAATATATCATTTATAGGTATATTCATAATTGAGAGGAGCATTAAGTGTTTTAAGCGATGGAAAAATCCCAATCAGGTTAAAAGGTAAATTTTATAAGACAGTAGTAAGACCAGCGATGATGTATGGATCGGAATGTTGGGCTATAAACAATGGAGAAGTAAATGATTGATGCGAGATGAGAATGTTAAGGTGGATGAGTGGAGTGACGAGAGAGGACAGAATAAGAAATGAGTATATAAGAGGTAGTATAGGAGTGGTTCCAATGGTTGACAAATTGCGTGATAATAGGTTGATATGGCTAAGATAGGTTTTAAGAAGAGAAAAAACTGAGGCAGTTTCAATGGCAAAGAACATGAGGGTGGATGGAAAAAGAGGAAGAGGAAGAGGAAGACCAAAAAAGAGATGGTTTGAAGTTATAGAGCGCGATATGAGAATGACGTGAGGAGGATGCTCGACAAACAGTTGGGAGGAAGGCGAAGGAAAAGAAGAAGAGGTACCTATATTCATAATTAGTTACTGTGTAGGTAATTAAGAAGTGCAAGTATTTTACTTTTACTCTATAAAAAATAACAACAATAGAGACGTTAGTGGTGGGCATTTCCGGATTTGTCAAACTGGATTTAGTAAATCCAGGTTTCACAGATTCTCCGGAGTATCCAAATATTCTGAAATTCAGATTTTCGGATTTCATACCTATCCCTAAGAGATGTTATACTTGTAAAACCTMATGGAATTTGACAAAGAATATGATGATGAAAATCAAAATATAACTGATAATGTCTAAAATATCTATTTTATTTTCAAATAATATTAATATTGAGTATATATTGAACATTAAACACAGTTTATACTCTGATACTCAATAATATTAGTAAGCAATTGTATTAGACAGGTTATAATCTAAACTGATGCTAAGGCAACTAACAATAGGTAGTAGCTTTAGCTTATTTGGTAAAGACACTGGGATTTACATCATACAAAGTTAAGTTAATTTGAACATCTGAATTTTCTTTTCTTTAATTATTTTGAAAAATTTACCAGGACATGTTTTTATAACCTAATACCGATAATACTTTTATTAAAAATAATTTAATCAGTGGCGTGCCCAGAAAATTTCAATGGGGGGGGGGATATCTGTTATACATTTTTTAGTAAAAGTACATTTAAATTAATCATGGTTATTCAAACACAAAAACTGCTAAACATATGTACATTCATGCATATTGAGTATCATTCTACAATTAGAATTAATTTAAATAGCCACTCACTATACACTATTGTTTAAACAAAATGACAACATTAAACTAAAAACATTTATAACCTTTATTAAAATAATTAATATACAAAAGRAAAATAATTCTTATATTAAAAATTTAAAAACCGAATTGATTCGTTTTTTGGATTAGCTAATTTTACTATTTTACTATAGCTTCAGGTGATTCAATATTTTATAACATAAAACAA